TGCATGTTTTGTAGTATAGCTCCTTTCTCCCCCCTCCCAAACACAGCAGAGCTTTTCAAAGGGTATCTTCTGAGCAATTAGGATAATAAGAGATAAAAATCATGAACACGTGTACTGGTGAAAAGCTGTATTTGTTGTCAGAAAGCTAAGGCTCCTTAACATGATCTGTGAGATAGTTTGAAAAAGCTTGTTCTGTGGACTGTGGAACAAGGGAAGAACTTTTGATTTATACTCAACCCTGGCCAGGTTGCTCAGTTGGTAAGAGCATCGTCCCCATACACCAAGGTTGTGGGTTTGATCCCTGATCAGGGCACATACAATTCAACCAATAAATAAATCAATAAGTGGAACAAATCAATGTTTCTCTCCCTCTCTCAAATCAATCAAATAAAAATTTAAAAATAAGTAAAAAGAATTAATCTACATCAACTCATTTTCCCTATTTCTTGCACCAGATCTATTAAAGCCATGTCAGGTTAATGAGAGCATTTTGAAAAATACTAAGGATTGAATCCCTTGTTATACATTTGTCTTGTTTAACTTGTAAAACAATTCTTGCTTGCTCACACTTAAACCTTGAAACCAACACATTAAAATCAGTTTTAAAGTCTTTTCAGTAAAGAGTTCTGGAGTTAAGATTTAAGAATAAGAAAACAAATGTCTTCTCCATTTGCTCACCTATTTGCCATTTCTGGCATTTCTCATTACTTTGTGTACATCTGAATGCCTATATGGCATCATTTTCCTTCTCCGAAAACAAAACAAAACAAAACAAAACAAAACAAAACACTCCATGCCATTTCCTATGTAGCACATATAGTCTGTTGGCTATGAGTTCACTCAGATTTTGTCTGGAAGTTTTTATTTTGCCTCCATTTCCTGAAAGCTGTTTTGTTAGGTGGACAAGGCTGACAGTTATTTTCTTGTTGACTTTATGCTTTTCTCTTTGTTGCTGCTTTTTATCAAATTTATTAAAATGTGCCTTAAGGTAGTTTCTTTTTTGTTGTTCCATTGACTTATGAATTCATTGGTTGATTCTTGTATATGCCTTAATCAGGACTGAACCCCAACCTTGATGTATCAGGATGACACTCTAACCAATTGAGCTACCTGGCCAATTCTGCTTGGAGTTCACTAACCTTCTTGGATTTGTAGGCTTATAGTTTTCATCAGATCTGAAATTTTATCAGTCATTACTTCTTCCATTATTTTTCCCTATCCCCATTCCCTCTCCATTGCTTCTGGGGACTCCAATTTCACATAAATAAAACCAACTTAAATTGTCTCTCAAGTTACTAATACTCTGTTTATTCTTTCCCTAGTTTTCTTTTCCTATACATTTTAGATAGTTTCTATTGCTTTATCTTCCAATTCATTAATATCTTCTTCCCTCCAATTTCCTGGAAATTCCAACCAGTGTTTTTCATTTCAAATATTGTATTCCTCATCCACCAAAGTTCAATTTGGATTTTCTTTTTTATTTTCCATTTCTCTCACCATCATGTTCAAATTTCTCCTACTTTCTTAAACACATGAAATACATTTATAATAGCTGTTTTAATGTCCTTGCTGCTACTTCCACTATTATCTTACTGTTCCTGAGTTTCTTTAAATTGGCTGATTTTTCTTTGAGTTACATAGTTACTATTTTCTCCAGTCCCCGCCTCCCATACCTGGTAATTAAAAAAAAATATTTTGTTTATGCTATTACAGTTTTCCCATTTTTTTCCCCCTTTGCACTCCTCCACGCAGCCTGCTCCCAACTTCCATAGTCAGTCCATGTCCATGGGTCCTTCAATATATCTGGTAATTTTTTGATCAGATAATGAACAATATGAATTTTATACTCTTCAGTGCTACATGTTGTTATACAGGCACACCATGGAGGTACTGTGAGTTCAGTTCCAAACCATCACAACAAAGGAAGTACCTCAATAAAGAAGTAATCTTTGCTGGTGGAGGATCTTGCCTTCAATTTGTAAAAGAATGCAACATCACGAGGCACAATAAATCCAAGCACAATGAAATTAGGTATGCCTGTATTCTTTCACATTCTATTGAATTTTGTTCTACAGTTAGTTTCATCTGTCTCAAGGTAGGTGTAGAAGACTTTAGTAAGGTAAGATACTCTTTTATAAATTTCATCCAATGTCTTATGAGTTCTTTCCACTGTGGCTTTTAGAAATGAACTTTTTGTGAGTTCAAGAAATTGCTTCACCAAATCCTTTCCACTTATTTCTCCAGCTATGAAAATTTTCTTACACATGTGTGTACTTTAGTACTCAGCCAAAGGAAGCTTCATGGCAAGTTCTATAGGATCCCTCAGTGTTCTCTCTGTGCAGTTAACTCCATTCTGGCACTCTGCCCCACACACTGTAGCTGCTTTGGTCTCCTAAACCCCAATCTTTTCAACTCTGCAGAAAAGCTAAGCTCTGTCTGGCTTCCTCTTTTCTGTTGACTATAAAATGCTTCCAGATAGATAATAAGCTAGGGATAATCTTAGGCTTGCCTTTTTGGTTTCATTGAAAACTCCTCTCACTGATAACAATCCTATGCTACCTGTTGTTCAGTATCTGAAACTGTGGCAGATATTTTGACATTTTGTCCAGTTTCCTAGTGTTTTGTTTTGGTTTTTTTTTTAACGCAGGAGGAAAAGTTCAGTCCCTCCTACTTCGTTGTGGCCAGAATTTTGAGGAGATAAATGTAATAAAAATGCATCACCATCAATTTGGTTTATAAGATCAACTGACTGATTTCAGAAAACATAAGTCAGTATCTGAATTTTAATGAACTGCTATATACTTGATGGAGAGGACTATAGAGAGAATATCATAATGTAGATGATGAAGTCAGCAACCTACTTCTACATATGTTTGTACTTGCGTTTCATGTAGGACAGATATCATAACCAAGTACTAGTGATCCAAGAATCGACCTAACAATAGCGATACCATGAAGGACTAATCAGAGATTAAGAAATGTTTTTATTAAGTATAAATTACCTTTACATCGTAAATAAAAAATTCTCAAATGTAAAAAAAGTTAGAAATGAATATAAAAAAACTTCCTGGTACTCAAATAATGAGTACAAACTAAAGCTATCAAGGTGTGTAACATATTCAGGAAAAAGAGTGTGGTTGCTGCATTTAGTGGGTAAAAGTGGTAGAGGATGGTAACAAAAATATAATTTGGGATCAGTTCCTGATAACACCAAATATTAACCAGGATGCAGAGCAATGGGAGCTCTCAATCACTGTCAGTGGGAATGCAAAATGTTATACACACTTTGGAATAAAGTCTGGTGATTTCTCACAAAACTAAATATATTCTTACCTTATGATCTAACAATCACACTCGTTAGTATTTAACCTGGTGAACTGAAAACTTATATACAGACAAAAACATGCATGGAGATGTTTAGAGCAGCTTTATTTATAACTGCCAAAGATTGGAAGCAACCAAGATGAATGGCCCTAAATAACAGAATATTAATTAGCACTAAGAAGAAATGAGCCATTAAACTCTGAAAAGACTTGAAGTAACTTTAAAGACATATTACAATGTGAAAAGTCAATGTGAAAAGGCTACACAATGTATGATTACAACTACATGACATTCTGAAAAAGGCAAAATTATAGAGGCAATTAAAAAGATCAGCATTTGCCAGAGACGGGAGCAAGGTAGAAATGAAAATGCAGAGAAGGGAGGATTTTTAGGGTAGTGGACTATTCTACATGTTATCACAAGTACACATTTATCAAATTAAACATTTGTCCAAACTCATAAACTGTACAACACCAGGAGTGAACCCTGATGAAAACTATAATGTTTGGATGATAATGTGTCAACAGAGATGCGCGGATTGTAATAAACAAACCACTGGTGTAAGCTGTCAACAGTAGGGAAGTTTGTGCATGTGGGGGGGGGGCAGGGAGTATATGGGGACTCCATTCTCTGCTTAATTTTACTTGACTCTGAAACTGTTCTAAAAAAAGTCTATTACAAAAATGAATCCTGCAAAGATGTAAAATATGAATTAGACAAGGAACTAAAGTAGGAGAAATCAGTTAAGAGAAGTCAATCACAATTTAGGTAAGACAAAAATAAGCCATAGAAACAAAACCATTTTAAAACAGTATTCAAGTTTTCACATTATATACAGCCTCATCTACTAGATATAACCATTCCAGATCTTTCTGTACAAAGGAGGTATAGTCTCCAAATTAATAATAACTATACAAAACAAGTAATGTTTTTAAATAACATACATAGCTTGGAATAACGTTTCAAGTTTACATAGCAAATAAATGCAGTGAAAATGAGACAAAACATAATAAATCGCTTCCATGTTTTATATTATAATACATATATCCTTAATAAATTTTTAAAAATTTATTTCAACTGGGACACCATAAATATAATAGAAGTATGACTGTTTATGCTTAGTTTTCTTATACATTATTTGAAATAACTATGAATAAGTACCACATCTTTACTAAAGAAATAGTTCAGTATTTTAATGAATGTAAACTGGTATCAGTTTGAATAAAATCTTTTTTTATTTACTTATTTATTTTTATCCTTACCCAAGGACATATTTTCATTGTTTTTAGAGAGTAAGGGAGACAGAGAAACAGTGATGCAAGAGAGAAACACTGAATGGTTGCTTCCTGCACACTTCTGGACCAGGGATCGCTTGTGCCCTTACTGGGAATCAAACCCGCAACCTAGGTATGTGCCCTGACCAGGAATTGAAACCACAAACTTTTGGTTACAGGACAACATTCCAACCAACTGAGCCACACTGGCCAGGGCTGAGTAAAATCTTAATTTCCTATGGATCCTGACAAACTACTTCCTCTCAGAAAACACCAAGCATTACAAAGTATTGAACATTTGTTAATATCAGTGTAAGTGACTCAATGTGGAGACTTTTCTTTTAGAATGACAACACAAAAAAAAGGGTTATTTTTTTCTAAAAGTGGAAAGATTAGGCATACCTCTTTCTTCAGGCTTTACAGGAAAATACTTTTTCTCTGCAGATATCAGTTCAGGTTTTGGGGCTAGAAATAAAACAAAGTTCATACTTAAAACAAAAATCATTGCAGAGCACAAAAACAACTGTACTACAAACTAAAGGTTGGTTTAAACATAATATCAGATTAAAGCATGGTTTAAGAGATAGAACAATGTAACAGAAATCACTAGGCTCAATCTAATGCTATACCTGTCACTGTTAGCATGAGTAAGTAATAACTCTGTAATCTCAGTTCCTTTTTTGTCAAATGAAGGTGTTCACATCTGTTACACCACCTCTCTCCAGTAGAACTAACAACGATGACGGAAATATTCTATTGTTGTGCTGTCCAATATTGACTATTGAGACTTGAAATGCTTGTACTATTCACTGTGGAGTTAAATGTTTTATTTCATATAATTTTAATTAACTTTGTAAGTCCAGTCTAACTAGTATCTCAAAAGCCTTCAACACTATCTTATGTAAAAATTACTTTTAAGTTGTGCTTTCCTTTTTGGGGGTTAGATCTGCAAATACAAAGCTAAAACCACTGAAAAAGAATGAACTTGCATCATTTTAAAAAAAGCAAATCGCCCTGGCTGGTGTGGCTCAGTGGACTGAGCACCAGGTTGCGAACCAAAGGGTCACTGGTTTGATTCCCAGCCAGGGCACATGCCTGGGTTGCGGCCAAGTCCCAGTAGGGGGTGCGCAAGAGGCAACCACACATTGATGTTTCTCCTCCCTCTCCTTCTCCCTCCCTTCCCCTCTATCTAAAAATAAGTAAATAAAATTTAAAAAATAAAATAAAAAGAGCAATTCTTTCAAGGAAAAAAAACTGTACTGTATTTATAAAAATCAGAAATTGGAGGCTGGAAATTCACAGAAATACACAAAAAGCCAGATTATAAGAAGTTAACTCTAGAAAACTCTTCTAGGTTTGTTTAATTCAACTGTTTTAAAAAAATAAACTCTTCTAATTTGTTTAATCCCTAGCACATTCTTATAAGGAAGAACACATAAATAATGAGTTTTTGTGTGCAACATTAACAAATAGATTTCATCTGAAAATACAGAAAATAAAAATTTTCAGGTCAATATATTAAGTTTTCTTGATTTAAACTTAGTCAATTCTCTTACCTCAAAATGACAAAGAACTAAAGAACACAAATTATTTTAAAGATTCCTTATTTTATATGCCTGTAATAAAAAAAAAAAACACCCTAAAAGATATTAATGTATGTGAACACTCCATTTTTATATATTTCTAAAAGGTGATATATAACACATATATTAGACCTGATTTCACAACTTTAGGACATGAAGATATGAAGAGCAAACTGAATAATGGTTTTCTTACATACCTGGACCCTTAACAGGAGGTGGTGGTTTCTTTGGTTTCTATTAAAATAATAATAGTGAAAACAGTTCAACACTTACATATTAAATATAGTTAAATTCTGGTCATTAAAAATCAAAGGTATATGAATATCTCTCCTTAACCCCTACCTGCTAAAAATTATAAAATAAACCCTAACAACGCCACAAAAGGTCACCGACAAAAATTTATTCTATTAGAGCAAATACCTCCTTGATAAAAATTCAAATATTTCAAAATTTATCACGGTTAAGATAAACCTACAAGTTCTTAATGATTAGTAAAAATATTCTGTCCTTCCTCCTGTAGCTTGAGTCCTGTGCACCATTTTATTGTCTTTAACAGCTAGGTTGGGTGGGGTGGGGGCGGGGGGGCGTAGCAGGGAAAGGCAGAGAAAGAGACTTTGTTTTTAAAAGAAGAAAAAAAGAAGAGTGTCTAATAAATATACCTAGCATTCATTCTTGATTCTTCACTCTCAAAGAGTAGATAAAAAGAAAGGTCTGTGTTTCCTCAATTTTAAATTCTCTTTGATTCATAAGGGTTCACTTATAAGACTCCACTTGATGCGTTAAAAAGCTTGAGACACATTTCTAAGTATGTGAATTTGGTTTTTCCAAATTAAAAGTAACTAATAATCAACAAGGTGTGTTCATTAAGAAAAGTATAAAAATAAAGCACACTGAAGGCTGAATGAATAGTGAATCAAGTCCAGCAAAAGAAGGGCCTCGGATAGTGTAAGCCTCCATAGAGTAAGCTCCAGTAATTTGCTTACCTAAATGAAAAACTGAAAAGATTACAGATTTCTATGTTGGCCTAAATCAAATATGGTACACTGTTTTGTTGTGTGTCTGCTTTCTAACTCTCTTTCCCCCTACTTTATTTAAAAACTCAATTAGAGCTATTGCTCTATGGGGGAAAAATGGGGATCAAGTTGTAGAAAACCAAAAGAACACTGATGAAAACTCAGCCTCACTTTATTCACTGTGAGAAGTAAAACAGACATATTAAATCCTATAAGGAGGCGAAGACTGCTTCTTACTCTCCCCAAATGCACTGAGAGAATAACAGTAAGAATAACAATAAGATAGTGCCTTATTTTCAACAGAATTAATTAAAAATATAATTTCTTCCAGGCAAGTGCTAATTTCTCTAACTAGCTTGGCCAGCTTTTCTTCTTTCAATTAGAATAAAGTCAAAGGTTATTCTCCAATATAATCAGTGGGGAAAGAAAATCAGGAATAAAGCACAGAACTGAAATATTGTTTTGTTTTTACAATAACTCAAGTAAGTTACCTGAAGATATGAATCTAAAACCCTCATAGAACTATTCAATAACTATATAAAAACCCTGTTTATAAAGAAATACTGGCAAAAGGTTCTTTAAACTATTATCACCATTAAAAAATAAAAGCTTACTGGAAAGTCCTTATCCAGTTCATTTATCTGAACAGCAAAATTATCTGGAAATACTCCTTCTTTGCCATTAAGTTCACCCTTCCACCAGCCAGCTTCTCCAGTCTCCTAAAATGCAAAATGAAGAATAATTAAGATCACATGGGTTATCTTTAAATAAGGGGGGAAATTACAAAATAGAAAACTACTGAATCCCATTATTTTTGCAAGAAAAAAGAAAAGGACCTAAAAGACCATGAGGTCCTCCTAATAGAAAATATTACTCACATATTACTTCTAGCAGTAGTTATAAAATTGGGTTTAATTTTTTTTAAAGATTTTTATTTATTTTTTAGAGAGACAGGAAGGAAAGGAGAAAGAAAGGGATAGAAACATCATTGTGTGATTGGTTGCCTCTTGTACGCCCCCTACTAGGAACCTGGCTCGCAACACAGGCACGTGCCCTGACTGGAACTAGAACTTGCAATCTTTCAGTTCGCAGTCCAGTGCTCAATCCAATGAGCCATACCAGCCATGGCTAATTTTTTAAAAAATTAAGTCAAGTAATTTTAAATATAATTTACAAGGATAAAAAGTTCTTGGATGCCCTGGCTGGGTGACTCAGTTGGGTTGGAACACCAAACCTGTACACCAAAAAGTTGCAGTTTTGATTCCTGGTCAGGGTGTGTACTGGAGGCAATCAATCAATGTTTCTTTCTCATATCAATGATCTCTCCCTCTTTCTAAAATCAGTAATAAAAACATATCCTCAGGTGAGGATTAAAAAAAAAAGTTGTCAGTGAGGAGAGGAGAAAAGGAAAAGGAAAGAAAATGGAGAGGAGGGTGAACAGGGAATATGAATTACCAAACTGTAGCTTCCTTAATATTCTTCCCAACATTTAATATACCAAATATTAATCACATTATTCACTTGCATTAGAAATTAACAGGCTCTTTCTTCAACTCTTTCCAAATGCCATCCTTCCATGAGAAATCAGTCCAAAGTGTATGACTACACAAAATGACATACAGCAAACCACTTGATTGTTAATTTAAAACAATGGAACCCTGGTCGATGAGGTTCAATTGGTTGGAGTGTCCTCCCATAGATGGAAAGGTCATGGGTTTGATTTCCCATGTTAGGACATATGCCTAGTTACAGGTTCAGTCCCTGGTCCAGGCATGCACGAGAGGTGACCGATCCATGGTTCTCTCCCTCTCTCCCTTTCTCCCCCCTCTCACTAAAATCAATAAGCATGTCCTTGGGTGAGGATTTAAAAAAAGTAAGGAAAGAAATTTCAAAAACTATTCAATAGAATTATACCAAAAAATATATATAATTTTGCTCTATTACAAATACTAATTATAGGATTCTGCCCAAACCCCAATAATACTGGGTTTCCTTTTTTCAAGTTATAAAACTATCTCATTCTTTTAAATAGTCACACTATTTCCCACAGTATCATAACCATTTCCACACTGGTGGACATTTAAATTATTTCCTTATTATTCCTTGTTTTTTTTCTATTAAAAACAATGCAACAAACATTAGGTGCAAAAGAATGGAATGTGATAAAAGAGAAAGTAAGAAGAGAAACCTGGACGATGTTAGGGTTAGAGGGAAAAACACAACATGATGGGAATTTTCTAATATAACAATTATAACAAAGACAGACAATGAAAATTTAAAAACAAAACAAAACAAAACCGTCTCTGAGCACTCACTATGTGACTATGTCCAGGTTCTCAGGACAGAGAAATAAACAAGACAAAGTCCCAGCTCTTCTAAGCTCACATGCTGGGGGAATGTAGGAGTACTGAGAAATATTTCTAAGAACAAATTATATGACACGATTCAGTGAAGAGAGAAAGATCTTACCTTACTTATCAAATGGATTATCTCTCCCTCTTTGAAAGTAAGTTCATCTTCATTAGCACCTTCATAGGCAAATAATGTTCTCCAATATTCCTTACCTAAAATAAAGAATGCAAATTATGTAGCTTATATAAACTAATTCTTTCAACAAACACCTATGAAGTCTCTATTTTGTGCAAAGCAATGTACACTAGAAGTTATTAAGATGAATTCAATAATTTCAGCCAATTCTATATGTTGAGTTAAGCAACCATTTTATTAATCCTCGGGTGAGGATTAAATAAAACAAAACTACTTAATGAAGTCCTACTATGCTCTAGGCAAAGTTCTAACTGTTGGGGTGGAACATTAGTGACTAAAGCACATTAAAACCCTTGACCTCATGATGCTTATATCCAGCAGGATTTAATACTCTGATCAAGTCATATGGTGTTCACAAATGTCTTCAAAAAATGTAACATTTTTGAGCATCTTCCATTTGCAATATAAAATTTTTATTTAAACACTTACCTTTAATTTTACCTTCAGTGTCTGTTTTTACCTCCATCTGAGTTCTGGATCCTTGTGACTGTATGATTAAGGGCTAGAATAGAGAACAATGAGATAAAATATTTTAAGTTAGAATAAAGATAATACTGTTAGACAAAATTTACTTTTATAGTTATCCAAGCTTTCCCTAATGGTGCTTAGAGCCAGGTTAGTAATGTGACTGAAAACTCTGCCAAGAGAAAAGATCTCAAAAGCTACTCAAGTGATAGCTCAGAACTTGTTAACTTTTAAAAGTTCTCCCTTGTTTCATGATAAAAAATACTCTGATACTCCTGTTCCCTAATTTTAGAACCTCTAAAATAGAATTAGTATTTAAAAACTTACTATGGATCAATCCCTGAGCTAAGAACTTTACACACATTAAAACTTAATCTGCAGAATTCCCTGCATAAAGTAGGCACAAACACTTATGCCTGTTATGGAATAGAAAACAGTTACATAACCTGACCATAAGAGTAATTTAGCAGAACCCAGACTCACACCTAGAAAAGTATGACATCAGAAAGTAAGTTCTTAACCATCACTCAACTTCTCCACAATGAGATAGAGAAAAGTCTTGATACTTTATTGCTGTTATCTAGATGAATATAGTTATTATAACTATAGTCTATTAGACAATTTTCCTCAACTTACAACAGTTAATCCTTTGCCATCTTATACTACTGTTTCCTTGAATCCTCTTCCCAGAAATAACACTCTATTTGACCTTAGATTTCCTTAAAGATCTGAACATACCACTAACTTATATCTTTTATGGTGAGTCCTGTTTAAGTTTTAAGACATTCACTTTAATTTCTCCAAGTTCTAACCATCATATCTTCCAATCTGGCATTGCCTACAAACATAGCAAATATGCTCCCTACTTTATCAATTCCTAGATCAGTTGATCAAAGCAGACCTCATAAGGCCATCCTGTAGGGTGACTCTGAGACAACTCTCACTAATGACAGCTCTGGAGGAGTGGGCATGATAAATGGCAATGGAAAGATTACTAGTGCAGGCGTGGACATTTTGTCCAAACACGCCCATTTGTGCTCTTCAAGATGATGTGTGTCACTGTGTGAATTCAATCTCAAATGTAAAAAAAACCTGTGGCATGGAAATCACAAGCTGCAGGACAATGTAAGTTGTGTGACAAGAAAGTCAAAGGCAATGTGGATTTTCTAAGGCAGAGGAAGAAGAGGAGGCCCGCTGGGGATGTTTTACTGGAAAAGAGCTCCTTGTTGGGCCCAGGCCAGACCTTCCAGATCCCAGGTGCCAAAATCTGAGTAAGTTGCAGAAGCTGCAGTCAGCCACTCAGTCAGGAATTTCTGGAGCTGGCCTGTACCTATCAACCCCTGCATCACCTCTATTGGGATATTACATCAACCCTAATGCTTCAACTTACAATGGAGATGATATGGACTTTCCTGATCTGATTTCATCATAACAGGAAACAAACAGACCATCAAATAAAGCTGTAACACTTGAGGCTGAAGTTAGCCACTGGAGACGTTTTGCTCAGGCTTTCACTGCATACAGCTATAATGATCATGAATTCTACAAACTCCAATATACCATCAAGAAACTTGAACTGTAGCAAAACAAAAACATTGATGACCGTCAACTTGAAACGGCAATATTGCAGAATGTTCACAAGAAGTGATAGCAAGGGGTTATTTTTATCAAGATAAAATAAGTGAGTATGAAGAAAAAATTGAACTTGAACATTTTTTACAGGAGAGTGGCTCAGGAATCAGAGAAACCAATGCCTCTAAAATTTATAATGCAAAAATCCATTCAAATTCTACAAACAGAAAAATAACAGTCTACCAAGAAGATCAAAGGTCTTGAAACCAGAATTAAATCCCTTAATTAAAAAATCACCTTCTGTACAAAACAAGAGGGATGTTTCAGGGACAGAACAAGACCAGAAGAATGAGAAAGAGAAGAAAACTGTGAATTGAAAAATGTGCATTGAAGCCTGAGACTACCAAGCAAAATGGTAAGATGACAGAAAAGGAAAAAGTTCATCCACAAAGTACATTCATGGAAGAAGCATTGAGAATGCAACAAGCACTGTCTGATGCTGAAAACAGAATAATGAGATGGAGCAGCTTAAACCATGATAACAATCTCACTGCCAACAATTAGAATTTGGAGAAGGAATCAACACAAATTTAACTCAGCACAGCGCAGCTCTGCAATGACAACAAGCTCTTTTAGGTCAGTTTGAGTTTATCTCACCACAGCCCTCCACTGGATCAATGACCTCAGTGAGTCTTCTAAATTGCTCCAAGAGCTGAGAAAATAATGCAGGAAAAAGAAGCAACAATCAGAAAGATCAGCAGAGACTGTCAGATTAAATTGCTACCACCTCTGAACTACAAAGAAAAAACTGTAAACAAACTGATTCAGAAATTAAGCAGCTAAAGGGAGAACAAGATGTTTTTAAAAACTTTCTTAAGGAAAAAGAACTCTTAAAGCAAAAAGTGATGAACTCCTCTCTTTAAGTAAAAATTTCACTAATAAAGTGAGTGAAAATCAACTTCTGATGCAGGCCGTAATCAACTGAAGGAGAGACTACTGATTTTTGAGGTTGACCTGTGGAAAATCTAACAGGAAAATGAAAAAACTATAGGAACTTCTCAGGAAAAAAAGGAAACAGAAAATCAAGCACTACTAGAAAACAGAAATGTGACTTTCTATGGCGAGGAAAGAGAATTCGGAATATGTTGCAATGACAAAGAAGGCTCTTGCTGTAGAACAACTACTGAAAAAAAAAAACACAACAGAGCAAGACATGGGAATTAAATTAGTTTTTAAAAGTAGTTACATCACTTGAGGAAGAGACAGGTATGTGTCAACAGGAGAGGAATTAGGTCCTGTTGGCATTGAAACAGAAACAAAGGGAATACTGTGCCTTAGGGAAGGAGGATCAATATTTACATGACAAGGAATTAGTTATTTCCCTTAAGCCAAGAGCTCAAGAGGTCCCTTAACCACACTTTACCACCACAAGACTGTCCTTTGCCAGAAGCTTTGGGCTGCAGAAGACAGAGCAACTAAACTTGGAAGGAAAGTTACAGCATTGGAGGAAAAGTCAGGTTCACCTTTTAATGCAATGGAAAAGGAAAGCCTTCAAGCCAGTCTGCAGGTGGAGTCACTGCAGGAACAACTGAATGTTGTCATCAAGGAGAGAGATGAATGCGCATTACAGCTTTCTGTCTCTTGGAAATAAGAAAAGCAGTATGTGCACGCACTAGCTAACTTGGTACTAGCTGAACAGATGGAGAGGGCAGGCAGCCTAGACAGAAAACTGGGGGTGTTACAGGGATGTCTGAATAAAGTGAATGCTGGCTTGGATCAGAAGGAAGAGCAAACTAAAGAATTTAAAAAACAAAATGAGGTCCAACAGGAAGTGATGGATAACATACAAAAGAAATTACTGAACTTATTAAGTAGCACCAAAGAAGAAGTCAACAGAATCCAAATGAGAAAACCCGTTAGAGGATATTTTCAAACACCAAAGCATGACCCTTGTGAAGTGTTACAATTAATGGGAAGCACTGTGGGTGTCAAAAGCAAAGAAAAGGAGCAGCTGCTAAATGAAGAGCAAGGTGGTGTTACCAGGTGAATGGCCAGGTGGCTTGGATCAAAAAGTGTCCCCAACAGACCTCTGAAACCAATGCACCAGTCTGTGCATAAGAGCTCTTTTTTAGAACTTTGTGTTAAATATCTAGAAACAGAATCTCAACTTTCCAGCAGCAAGCACAATGCTTGTGATATGAAGACTATATATTCACTAGGGCTAAAAATGCACAACCAAGTCTTCAAACTATCTGAGGATACGCACCCAGAAAAACAGGTGTGAATCCCTGTTCCATAGCTGTGTCTCTTAAACAAACCTGGACCTGCAACTGGTGGGTCTGGGCATCTTCTTTTTAATGCCATTGCTAATGTTTTGCCACATATATTTCTTTGCTAATGTCACCTGAGAGGATTGCTCACATTGTCCTGAAAGACTTTCTAAAGCAAAATAGATGAGTCTCGAACCAGAGATAAGACAGCACTTTAAAGTAGTGGTCTTAGAAAAAAGACACACATTTGTTTCTGCAGTTTTAGTTTGTTTAATAAAGATATTAATACTTGAAAAGAAAAATTGTTAGTGGCATCGTTAATCAAATGAAGTTACAAGCTTTAGAGTTAGAAAGGGGCGCCATATTATCTAATCTAATGTCTCTCCTAATGCAGACATTGCTTCTCCAGCATTCCTAGCTATCATATGGTTATACAGCAGGACTGCAAAAACCACAAGAACGCCAATCTTTATCTTTAAAACCAAGAATCGATTAGGTCGCATAATCTTAAGGCTAGGCAGTCTCAGAGCAAGGAGAAGACAGGGTTCAAAGTACAAGTTTTCTTTCCTGACCTAAATCACAATTACATGAGAAAATATGCAGCGAGCTAGGAAAGAAAAAATGTTGAAACTAAACACGTTAGGAGAAAACTTCAGAACATATTTCACCAACCAAGAGTCTTAAAAGTGAAATATTGCTAAACTAGCCAATACTGAAATCCTTTAAACTCTTAAAAGTTAAAATAAAGACATACAAATGAGAGCCCTAACAACTTCACAGGAAAAGTTTCCTATCTGAACATTTGATCTGAAGCTTCCAGATGTTAATGCCAAGAACAGCAGCTTTGAAATAAATGGCCTTAAGGTTGTAGCTATTTCCCCCCCAAAATAATAACGTAAGCATCTGAAGCTCCCTGATGTTAACACCAGAAACCACAGCTTTCGAATAAGTGCCCTTAAGATTGTAGCTATTTTTTCCCCAAAATAAAAACTTAAGTATTGAGTTTAAAATCTTTTATCAGAGATTAAAATTTATGGTATGTTAACTTTGATTTATTTCACAACACCAGTGAAATGCTAAAGAAAAATGGAGTTCTCCATCCATTTACAGGGGGAGGTGAGTAGATTTCACCATTGCTGACAAACCACAGGAAAGTTAAACAGTGTCTAATAAACTTTGTTTCTCAATTGTGAAGCCATTTTAAAATGGTCCATCTGAGGCGAACTTCAAATTAAAAGAAAATATATATATACCTTTAGCTTTAAAAGGCAGAAAAAAAAAAAATCCTTGCCTTTTCTAATTTTACACTTACAAATCTAACTCTAAAGCTTCCACTAAGAAGAGTTTATATCAAATTTACCACAAAACATTCTAATCGTATAAAAATCAAACATAAACATTAATCGCTGTAAACCTGAAAAGATTTTCTCACAAGTTTTCTTAACCAATGACTAGAGATTTCAACATAGGACATTTAAAAATTGCAATGTAGCTTTTATATTCTGCAAAATGTTTAAGGAGAAAAAAATAGTGGAGTTAATCTAAGTGAAGTTAATTTGTAGTACCTTTTCTGATTTTTTCTCTTCTACTTCACTATTGGATGTTCTTGTCCTAAGTTTCACAGAGCCTTCTTTAAAAATATCACCAAATCCAATTCCTCTAATTTTCTTTGGCTGTGTAACCGATCCAGGTGTACTTTCACTCCCATTCCCCGGAGAGGGGAAAGATAAGGTAGGCCCAGTCCAAGGAGTTTCTGAAAGAATAATTTGTTTTTGAAGAATGACACTAGCATCCTGAGAATCTTGATACTCCCCGCCTCCATTGTGTTTACACTGTACAAATTCTAATAAAAAATCAAATAAAAACAATAAATTAAATGACCAAGTACTAATATATCCAAAAAAGTAAGATGTACTTTACATTGTTATTTTCCTGGATGTTGTGTAAAACAACTATTTAGGTATTTTTAATTAGCAAGATGCTAATTAAGAAATCAAGGAAATCACATTACACATGATCCTTACAACAGCATGTCAAATTTACCTCTTTGGACAAAGATGATAAGAAATGTAAGAGTAAAGAATTAAAAAGACAAAGTTAATCATTTTTTAAAAGTCATACAGCTCAATCTGTTTAAAGTCAGGGTGAGTTTCCAAACACAAAAACTGTAAATATCAGCAAATTTTTATTTTAAAAGTCAGTAGTTCAAGATCTGTCATCTTAACTCACAGATGAAGTAACATAAGTCTAAATTTGAAGCAGTCCATAAAAATTTACATTATAGTGGAAAAAATATATATTAAACAAAGTTTAACATTACATGGTAAGAAAGTTATTTCTACATTCTCCCTCAGTAGCAAAGGTTCTTATTTAGAAGACTCAATGACTTCATGAACAGCCCCATGGAAAACTATGTGGATATTATTTCAGTTCATTTTTCTGGGTAAAAGCAGCACAGTTTATAACAGATTCTCAAAGGACCTTATAATCTAAGAAATAAAGTTCTAGAGTAAATCATACAAAAAAATTCCAGAAACATTTCAGGATAGGAGTGAGAAATGGGGAGAAATATGTAAATTTCAGCTCATTAAACTAAAAGAGTATGTTGAAATTTAATAGTAAGAATAACAACGGGTAATAGTAAAACTGGCAGTTACCACTTATTCTGTGCTTAATATGTAGCAAGCACTTGCTAATAAGCACTATACATGAATTATATTTAACTTTTATAACCACACATAGGCTAGCATTAAGCACTATTACTATTCATTTTGAAAAACTAGGCAAGGAAATGTTAAGAGCTTTTCCAAGGCCATAGAAGGTGTAAGCAACAGTAAATGTTGGAAGCTAACTCCTGATGATCCCAAAACCAGTTTTAAACATTTTCATATAATGATTCAAACAACAAAAGCCTCCAATCACACATTTTAAAATATCTGAGCAGTTAATAAACACAAATCTTATAAACTTCAGAAATATAATGCTAACAAGTTCAGTGATCTACTCTAATTCATACTTGCAATATGCGCCTAAGCCACATCCGAAGGGGAATCCAAAAAACCCCTAGAATTTATTTATAAAAAATTGTGTATTTATTCCTACACGTTTAAACTTTAGTCACCTTCCAAGTACTCTCCCCATTTGATGCAAGACACCTACTGAGATATTTTTCCACTGCTCAAAACCGTTTTTGAACTCACTGATTTTGATGCCTTTCAGTGCTTCTGCTGTTTTTTGTTTCACCTCTTTCACATTGACAAAACATCTCCCTTTGAGGACTTTTTTCATTCAGGGAAACAAACAAAAAAAGGCACTCATAATGAGACTGAGTGAATAGGGAAGGTGGGTCATGGGGCAGGGGGCATGCCATTTTTGGTCAAAAACTGCTGAACACTCAGTGTCACGTGGGCAGGTGCACATGTAAATCACCCATCATGAAATAGGCAAACGTGCTGAGTCTTCAAAAAAAACTCACTGAAACCAAACGCAGTCTCTCACAATGCCAGCTGATAAGATACACTGATACAGATGGGTTCCTCGAACCCTCACCTAGCGGGGAAGACTGTCCTGTAAGGGGCCTGCCCTCCAGAAAATAATTCCAGGTTTTTGTGGGTCCTCCCCTCATATAGTTTTAGTAATAAGGTTTTAAGTCAATTTTATTGAGAGAATATTTACATACAATAAAATAAACCCATTTTAAATGGACAATCCAAAAATTTTTGACAAATGCGTGCCCCAAGTAACCCCAACAATTAAGATATAGAACTTCTGTCACTACAAAAAGAATACTTTGTTTACTGTTTCAGTCAATCCTTCCTACACTCTAACCTCAAGAAACCACTGATCTTCAATCTGTCATTATTTAAATGCAATGTCATTTCTAGAGATTCAAATTTAATCACATAACACGTCTTTTCTTTCTGCTTCTCCTGCTAAGCAGAATATGCACAGGTCATCCATGCTCCCACTTCAGTCCTTTTTATCTACCATTAAGATGTTAGCTGCAGATTTTTTTCATAGACAAGCTTTACCCAATATTAAAAGTTCCCTTCTGTGGCTATTATAAAGTTTTTATCATAAGTGTTGAATATGTAAAATTCTCTTTCTGCATCTATTGAGATGACCATATGGTTTTTCTCCTTTAAACTGTTACTATGGTAGATTATATTAACTTTTGAATTTGTGGGATAAACCCCACTAGTCATAGTGTATCACATATTTTGCTGGATTTGATGTGGTAATGCTTTATTAAGAACTTCTGTTTATGACCCAAATAGTTTGTAAGTCCTTAATGATGTCACATGTATATTCTAACACAGGCGCAGACAGACAGTAAGAAAATTAGTAAGGAATAATAACAAATACATCAAAGAAAATAAGGGAATTAGAATGAGGGATGGGAGCTTTTGGCTGTTTTATACAGAGCTGTCGGGAAAGGTCTCACTGAAAAGGTGACTTCTTAAGACTACCGAAATCAGACAAAAAGCTATAAGGACATCTCAGAGAAAAACATTCCCAAAGGTATACAGCAAGTACAAAGGTTGTGAGACAGGAATGTTCCTGACTTCTTGAAACAGGCTGCCACTAGAGGATGAGCACTTTAATATTCAGGAGGGAGATAACAGCAATTAACAGGCTGTTAACAATTACAAAGTAAAATAAAACTGATACCAGGGCAAGCAGTAGTGGAGATGGTAAAAGAAAACAGATTCTGCACGTTTACTTAGTAGGTCACAAAAAGCAGAGTGTAAGATTAAAAAAAAGAGTTAGAGAGGAATCTAGTTCTTTGCTCTAACTAAAAGAGGGATGGAGTTGCCATCAACTCAGATGAAAAAACTATAGAGCAAATCTGGGCGCAGTGAAAGGGGCAGAAGAAACAGGGTTAAGATGCCTATTTCATATCTAAATGGAGATTCTGATAGGCTTACAGTGGGGTAGACTTACACAAAGCAGTAAAGTGCCAGCAGATACAGTGCCTGGCTTTACAGAACTAGGGGCAGGGGGGCTGAGGGGGGCGGGGATTGAAAGCAAATAAGGAAACTGAAAATGACAATGGACACTAAACAAAAAAGGTTACATATATTTGACAAAAGGAGTCATTTCCTTTTAAAAATGGAAGTATAACACTTCCCTTGAAAAGTAAAGCTTTTCATGAAATGGAATACTAAAAAAATTTTTATCTTGAGATTTTATTTAGAAACCAATCAGTAAGAGAATGCATTATGAATTCACCACATTCCTACAAAAATAATGGCTTTCTTACAACTTTTATTCTATAATTCTTCAATGAAAACTTAGGGCACAAAAACAGATTACCCAGGAAGGCTCAGATATTATTGTCTACCTTTCATCTAGAGACAGAATTATCTTCTCAGCATTAATAGCATGGGTTTTGTTTTTAAGATTTTATTTATTTATTTTTAGAGAGGGGAAGGGAGGGAGAAAAAGAGGGAGAAAAGCACCAATAGGTTGCCTCTCGTACATGCACTGACCACGCCCACACAGGAGACCGAACCTGCAACCCAGGCATGTGCCCTGACAGGGAACAGAACCAGTGACCCTTTGCTTTGAAGGACAATGCCCAACTAAGCCACATGGGTGAGGGCTGTAATACCCAGAGTTTAATTGCTCAAGCCAAGAACATCACCCCATATATGTGTTCATTGATTGCAAGAAGAGACTAGAAGAGCTCTACTAAATGTAAAGAAATGTAAGAAGAAACTGTGTAAAATAATCAAATTGTGGTGGATATGGCATTCCAATACTATGAACAAAAAAAAAAATCAATTTATAATGTACAGTTGACTAGAATTCCTCTAACAGTCACTGGAAACACACACTATTTTACTAATTAAAAAGACTGTCAAAATACCAATTATAGACAGACAGACACATAGACAGTGAACATCAATTTGTTAAGACACAGAGAGTATGAACATCAATTCTTTAAATCATAAATCATAAAATCAAACTCTTAAATTAAAGGACTATCTACTTTTATCACTAAAGTTCTAAAGTCCTTATAAAGCCCTCACTTCCTGGCATTCAAATCAATATTCGAAAACTCTCTGCCTAAAAATTAGGGTTTTAAAAAAAGGAATTATAGTGTACTTAAACCACTGACGTCCCACCCCATAATCACGAAGCTGCACATTTAGAATGCCTGTTATTGTAACAGGGTTAAACAAGCACAGAAGTACATTTTTAACAGATATGACTCTGCAAGGTTACTAACATGTGAATAGGGCTAAACTGTGCAAGAAAATGCTCAAAGTATTCATAATTATAAAAATAATAAACTACATCCAAATTTAAATTTCATTTCTTTTGCTAGTGGTCCCAGATGGAGATTAAATTTTGTACATATTTTAAGAGCTCAATTTATATGGCATCATAAAAATCATTTCACCATAAACTTTAATACCAAAGTTTAATGTTAAAAATAAATATCAGAGAGTCCAATACTTATAAAACATAAGAAATACCAATATGGATCAGAAATAATTCACGGGATAGTTTGCTAAAGAATAAGTGTACCATTAAATTTAAGCCAGATGTTTTTAGTACTTATGTTTGTTCTCTAATGGTTTTTATATATCCTTAAAACATAAATTTTGATATCACAATTGGTACCAAGTAAGTGTAACAGAAAATAGTAAATCTGTTATGACTCCTCTATTTATTCCCATCTCATGCTTCAATGGAATCAGCATTTGCAGTACAGGTTGACCATCATCTTTGACTTTAGGAATTCTAAAATCCATGAAATATGACATTTGCAAACAGATCAAAACTGTATGTAAGTATATCTTAAGTGGGAAGAAATAAGGTAACATAACTATTATTTCATAATCACAGTACTTACTAAAGGCTTACTTGAGGCTGAAGCAGACATTAGAGGAAAAACATTAGAGACAGTTACTTCATCTTAAGACTCTCATAAATTGTTTGTTAAATAGATAAATTGAAGCTCACAGTTCAAAAGAAAGAATTTAAAAAAAAACAAAATAAACATTTCATAATAATATATGGTTTATTTAAATTTATTCAAATTTTTAAAAATAGTCTACCTGAATCTTCCTGGGCTTCATGAGTTTCACCATCATCTGTTACCTCTAATTCTTTCACAAAATTTGAGGGAAACAGTCCCAATTTGTTGTTCAGGGTTCCACTCCACCAGCCTTCTTCTACCTGAAAGAGTTCACAACTCAAAAATAATAAAAATTTCTCAAGGAAAATCTTCACCCAATGGGAAAATAAAGCTATAGAAGTGAGTAAACACAAAGTTAGTGATACAAAATAACCTCTTTAAATCTGTAAGAAAACATTATGGGAAAAAATATTTCTAAGTAAATTAAGTGGATTGGATTAACCATATATGGGCTTAGTCATATATCAAGAGCACTTTGCAACATTTACATTGAATTAGATCAATTATAATCTTATAAAATTATAATCTTATAATCTGTAATCAATTGTAATCTTACAAAAAACTTTCATGAAAGTATCAGATAACCAAGAATAATGTATCCACAGCAAGAAGTAGATAGTTTTCTTCTGGAATGTTACTCTTTTAAACACAACTGAGCCTCAGTTTGTAATTATGACGTATATTATTTATTTGTGAATTCTTGATTTGGAAAAAGTTTGATGAATATAAGAATATATCTTCCTAAAGGCACATAACATGGCTCAGCCTTTTACTTGAACTATGAGTCTCAAACCAAGTGTGAAAAAGAATCACTTATTTTTAAAAATCCCAGTGTCATGTTCTACTAAACATTCCTCCCAACCCAACTGGAAATATTCTCAGAAACTAAACTTTTTAGAAAAATATTTATGTTCACTAGTAACAAGGTTACTAAATTTTCATGAAATTACTTAATATTATTTAATAAATGGTTTATAAGGTATAGTTTCAGCTAAGGATGCTAAGAGGTATTACTAGGTAAAAACAATTTCTTAAAGAGTAAACCATTCATTGCCAAAACACACTTAGCAGTACATGCAATATCATAGCTATTTTTTGTTTAAAATATTTTTATTTTTTTACCTCATTATAATGACAAGCAAATTTTAATAAGTTATTCCTCTAACAGGCATTCACTATGTAATACAATCCATGGTGTTAATTGCTAGGAAAAGATTTAAGTTTGCATATGAGAAATCTGTCCTTGATTAAAAAAAATTTAAGGAAGAACACAAAAAATAAGATTGTTACAATATAACAAAAACCAACCTTTTAAAACAAAAGGTATTATAACAAAAGTATGAACAAAACGCTATAAGAACACAAAGGACTTAAAAGAATAAAAAAGAAAGGGCTACACTAAAATAGGGAGATGAAAAAGAGTTGATATTTAAAGGCTGAGTAAGAATTTTCCAGGTAAAAAGCGTGTTAAAAATATGATGACAGAAAAATGAACTTATTCAAGGAGTATATACACCTAAAATACGAGGCAGCTAGAAGACAAGCTGTTTGAGGGAAGAATGGAATGCAGTAAGTGTGGTAAGTTCAGAATTTTTAGCAGACGTAAGGAGGCACCAAAGGTTTGTGAGTTCTTCAAAACCAGGTGTAATGGAGATATGCAGACCAAACTGGAACAGGCACAACAAGGGAAACAATATCAGAAAACGACTATCTAAACCTGGAATCCCAAACTGACAGCAACTGGGTGGTTAGGGTAAATAACCTTATAATAATTCCTATTTAAAGAACTCTAACTCAAAAACTGACCTTGTGGATTCAGAGTCTGGCTCCTCTGCATGCCAGACATATGAACTTGGGCAAAGATGTCTAAACTATGGTCTCCTATCCCATATGCTTATCTACAATGTAAACTTCACATCCCTCCCACAAAGGAAGTGGTGGTCTTTGTCTCCACTCCTTTCAGTCTTACTTGGTGAAAGTGACACTATCACTTCCAAGGTTAGATTATAAAAGGCTATCTCTACATTTGCTGAAATGCTTATACTTAGGAACCCTGAACTGCCATGTAATAAGTCCCACTACCCTAAGACCTCCCCCAACTATAGTAAGAAAGTCAAGCCAAATGGAGACTCCACACAATGGCTCTCCATAGGGAGTCCTAATATTCGAGTTTTCTAAGCACCAGACACATCAGTGAAGACTTCCCATGATTCTACCAGCACTCAACCTTGAATCTTTCCAGTTCAGAACTCCAGACATCGCAGAACAGACACAAGTCTCCCCTGCTGTGCCCTATCTGAATCTGTGACCCACACACCCATGAACCTAATATAACAGCTGTTCTTTACCACAAAGTTTGGGATGGCATGTTCAGTGGCAACATTAACTGAACAGCCAATCACTTATTTTCTATGATTTAATCTATTCAAATGTAAAACTGGGATCAAAACTCCTATATTCAGGTTATTTAATAAAACTAATATTCCATTACTGGTAAAAGCAGAGATATAACAAGATATTTTAAAAATATTTTTAAATATTCTAAGATATTAAAATGAGGGGAAAGTGTTTTTGGTTAACATTTCAATGTGAAAATTCAAACAATGCAAAGCTTTTTAAAGATTCTGCTTTTGAATTTCTATTTTACTGCTTTGTGCCTGAACTAAATTCAGAACCAAACAAAAGATTTATTTATGTTTGTAACCACTTAGATTACATTAATTCTTAGTTTTAACATACCTTTTTTCCTTTCTAAAGTCAAGAGATACAAATACAGTACACAAATATTAGGTATAAACAAGGATAAGTGACATTTTATTTCTGTGCATAAGATAACCAGATACTGTCATTAAAAAATTATTTTCAAATCTATATCTTAAAATGTTTTATTTTTTTGATAAATTTTTTTAAAAAATCTTAAGTCATGTTTATTCTATCACAGTTGTCAATTTTTCCCCCTTTGCCCACCCCCACAGTCAATTCCCACTGTTGTCCATGAGTCATTCATACATGTTCTTATATCTCACAATTTTTATAAAAAATAATGAAACCTGCAAAAAAATTCTAACAGAATATCCTTACAAAGTATTTTTCCTTACAAAGCATCTTTTTGATACCCAAAATATCTTTATAAAGTATTTTTCTGACACCCAAAGCATCAATTCTAATTGCTGCTTTATCGCTAACATATGTTTTCCTTACCTCTTCATTAATATCAATAATATCTCCCACTTTCAGCTCCAGTTCATCATCGTTTTGTGGAATGTACTCAAAGAGAACTTTACACTGACGTTTCTTGGTCTCTAAAGAAAGTAACAGAAAAAAATTAGGTTAAGAACGATCTTTAAAACAACAGTGTCTTTATTTACATATTGTATCTTTTCCATGGGATTTATATACATGAACAAAATCAGAACATGTAAGCATTCTAAGCAGTTAACCAGTCAGCTCTGGGTGGCTCTTCACCTTGCCCCCACATTACAATCTATTCATTCCAAAATAAATTCAAACCAACTAGAAATGAGATATAAAGCCCACAGCAATAAAATCTTTTATACATCTGATCCCACCAATTACACAAAAGTAAGCTATCCACCACCAATATTGAGACATTTTAGAAATACAGACAATAAAAGATACTGTTGGCACAATAAACGTATCACATACAAGTCCTCCAAGCTGGTGGTTTTCAGACCTTCCTGATCAAAGCCCAGGAATATTTAAAATGCACTAATTTAAGAGTATCTGTGTTTAAAAAAAAAAAGGAAAATGCACAAATCTAAAATGTACTTTATCTTTTTAAACAGCTCTGTTTTCTGACAGACAAAAATCAAACTCATATAAGTAAAGATAAAAAGTAATTTTACTTTTCCTTTTCAAACAAGCTATATTTATTCAGGCAAGTAATGATCATTTGTAACAATCCAGGTTTGTGGTTCTCAATTTCTTTTAAACTCCTAATAATTGAGAACTCAGCCGTGGCTGGTGGGGTTCAGTGGATTGAGTGCTGGCCTGTGAACCAAGGGGTCGCTGGTTTAACTCCCAGTCAAGGCACATGCCTGGGTTGTGGGCCAGGTCCCCAGTAGGGGATGTGCGAGAGGCAAACACACATTGAAGTTTCTCTCCCTCCCTTCCCCTTTCTCTAAAAACAACTAAAATCTTTAAAAAATTTTATTGAGAACACAGATTCACTTCTATCTTAATAGTGAATCATTAAAGCAGCTGTAGGTAGATGACCAGGTATGGTTGATTAAAGGACTACCTCTAGCTACCTAAAGAAATCAAGAGAGAGCTGAGACTGGGAAGGGTAGCAATGGAAGAATTAGAAAAAATCATCAAAAGCAAAGCTGTTTTACTGGAGACCAAGGCTAAGATCATCCACGTTCTCATATTTCCAATTACTATCTACAAAATGTGAAAGTTGGACAGCGGAAAAGGCTGATAGAAAAAAATTGATTTATTTGAAATATGATTTTGGAGAACTGTATGAAGACCTTGGATCACCAGAAAGATGAACAAGTGGGTCCTAGAGCAAATTAAGCCTGAAACATTGCTGCAGGCAAAAATGACACAACTGAAGTTGTCCTACTTTGGGCACAAGTAGGACAACTACTTCTTCCATTCTAATTCTTCCATTGCTGCCCTTCCCAGTCTCAGCTTTCTCTTGATTTCTTTGGGTAGCTAGAGGCAGTCCTTTAATCAACCATACCTGGTCATCTACCTATAGCTGCTTTAATGATTCACTTTCAAAGACAGAAGTGAATCTGTGTTCTCAATAAAATTTTTTAATCATGAGAAGACAATTGCTTCACCTCTCACATGCTATGGATCTATAAAATTATCAACACACACACACAAAAAAAATTCAACTGAACACCCAAAACAACAAAAGAACATTGCAACCAACATCTCAGAATAATTTTAGGTAATAAATTTAATAATGGTTTTATGTATATTGCAGGACACTATGTCTTAGAACTAGAGGTAAATATAGTTCCTAAATACTTTGCAAGATATTGAAGTCAAGTTGAGAAAACGTGTTCTTTGTAGTTAGTACTTCATGAATGAGGGGAAAATGGTTTATATTATAAAAAGAAAAATCTATTTTGTTCAGGGTGCACCTTCAAGTAAATCTATTGTTATCTCTCTGATAATCTCAGGCCTTTAAAAATATAGTTTGTTTTTTAATGAATATAAATATCTTTTTAAATGATTTAAAGTGGAAAAGAATATTAATTAGTACCTCTATCCTCAAACATATCAATCGACTTTGGGCAGCCAAGTTATATTTTAACCAATAGCCTTGGTTTTCCTTCCTCACACTAAGCATAATTCTCCACTGAATGATTTTTTCCAAAGTAGTTTGCAAAATTACTTGCAAAGAATTTTTCATTTTTCGAAGGAAAGAGCCACATTGGATAAAAACTGCTAAACAGCTCCTATTATGACCATATAATGTGAGTCATTTATTCTAAAAATATTTGTTCAAGATGCCATTTTTAAATATGATTCACTCCTAAGCTGAGGTGACTGCCTCTACTGAACTCATCTATTAATTGGAATAAAATTAAAGGAATTCTGCAATTTTTGTTTACATCTTCAAATGGCATACACGATGTCCACCTATACATACTGACCATTAATATTTACTTAAGTACTACAATGTATCAGAATCTCTGCTAAGCACTAAAGAAAATAAAACAGAACTTCTGGTCCAGATGGTGGCGTAGGCAGATATGGCCTGCCTTTTCCCACAACCACATAAAAATTACAACTAAAATATAAACCCACCATCCCTCAGAACCGTCGAAATCAAGCTGAATGGAAGTCTGACAACTACAGAATTAGAGAAACCACATCAATCCAGACTGGTATGAGGGGAACAGATGTGGAATGGGCTGGTCCCTGACCCATGTGTAGTGGATAAAAATTCATGAGGGATATCTCGGGAGCAAGGAGTCCCAGTCCCACACCAGGCCCACCAGCTCAGGGTTCCACTACAAGGAAAGTAAGTCCCTACAACTTCTGGCTGCAAAAACCACTGGAGACTGGGTCGATGAAGAAACTGCTGGAACTCCAAGTTTCTGTTAAAGAACCCACACACAGACTCACCTACTCAGACTCACTCCCCCTGAGCTCCAACACCAGGGTACAGCTTGAAAGGCACCAGTGGTATACAGGGAGACAGTGAAGTGTCTGGTATCCAGGTGAGCAGAGGCCATGGTCCCTTTTCTAAACCCTCCCCCCATAGAGCCAGCAAGCTGGTGTCACATATGAGACTCCATCAACTTGGCTAGCACTATTTGATCCACCTTGGAGATCCCCAGACACTCTGCCTCACCCAACTTAGAGACCCATCCAAGCTGCTTTGCTATATGAATGGCTGGTCTTAGCTCATGCTTCACAACTTCCTAAATCCTATCAAACAAGCTACAGCTGGCCGCAGTGAGTCCCAGGCCCCACAGAAGGTGCAGCCAGCCTAGATTCACAGCTTAGCTTTGCCTGGGAATCTCCAAGTCCAGCAAAACTAGCAGCCATCTCAGATTGGCAGGGTGGCCAAAGACAGGTAGGGGCTGACATTGCCTGCACTACCTGGAAACCCCAGAGCCAGTGCACCCAGTGAGCAGATACAGACCATGTCAGAGTACCTCCACCCTGCCCCTGCACAGTTGATCCTCCAAGGAGGGTAGAGGTTGGTGGTTAGTGGTTACAGCCAATCCTTGGAGCTGACTGGCCTGGGAAAATCCCTCCCATTGTCTGCCAACAGCAACCAAGGCTCAACTACAAAAGGAGGGTGCACTCAGCCCACACAAGTACTCAGCTTGGGTGATAGGGGAAGTGCGCTACTGGACCCTACAGAACACCTATTACATTAGGCCACACTACCAAGACACAGATTCAAAGCAGTTCTACTTAATACATAGAAACAAACACATGGAGGCTGCCAAAATGAGGGGACAAAGAAACATGGCACAAATGAAAAAACAGATCAAATGTCCAGAAAAAGAGCTATACAAAATGGAGATAAGCAATCTATGAGATGCAGAGTTCAAAACACTGGTTATAAGGATGCTCAATGAACTTAGTGAGGACCTCAACAGCATAGAAAAGATCCAGTCAAAAATGAAAGATACACTAGTTGAAATAAAGAACAATTTACACTGAAACAACTGTAGAGTGGCTGAAGCCAAGAGTCAAATCAATGACATGGAACACAAGGAAGCAAAAAACAACCAATTAGAACAAGGAAAAAAAAAGAATCCAAATAAATGAAGATAGTATAAGCAGCCTCTGGGACAACTTCAAGAGGTCCAACATTCGCATCATAGGGATGCCAGAAAGAGGAGAGAAAGAGCAAGAAACTGGAAATCTCTGAAAAAATAATGAAAGAAAAATTCCCTAATTTGAAGGAAATAGACATGCAAGCCCAGGAAGCAGAGACAATCCCCAAAAACATGAATGTAAAGAGGCCCACTCCAACACACATCATAATTAAAAGGCCAAAGGTTAAAAATAAAGAGAGAATCTTAAAAGCAGCAAGAGAAAAGAAGTTACCTACAAGGCAATTCCCATAAAACTGTCAGCTAATTTCTCAAAACTTCAGGCTAGAAGGGTTTGGGCAAGAAATATTCAAGGTCCTGAAAAGCAGGGACCTACAGCCAAAATTGCTCTGCCCAGCAAAGCTATCATTTAGAACAGAAGAGCAGATAAAGAACTTCCCAGGCAAAAAAATAAATAAATAATTTCATCATCACCAAACCATTATAATATGAAACGTTAAAGGGACTTATTCACAAAAAAGAAGATCAAAACTATGAACAATAAAATGGCAATAAATATATATATATAAACAACTGAACCTAAAAAACAAACTAAGCAAACAAGAAGAACAGGGACAGAATAGTGGATACAGAGAGTGTTGATAGTTGCCAGAGAGGAGGGAGGTGCAGGGAAATGGATGAAGAGGTGAGAGGATTAAGAAGTACAAATAGCCCTGGCTGGTGTAGCTCAGTGGACTGCCAGCCTGTGAATTGAGGTGTCGCTAGTTCAATTCCCAGTCAGGGCACATGTCCAGGTTGCAGGCCAGGTTCCCAGATGTGGGCATGCAAGAGGCAACCAATCGACGAGTGGATCAAAAACCTATGGTACATTTACACATCGGAATACTACACCGCAGAAAGAAAAAGCGAGCTACTACCCTTAACAACGGCATGGATGGACCTGGAGAGCATTATGCTAAGTGAAATAAGCTAGATGGTGAACAACGAATATCATATGCTTTCACCTGTACGTGGACTCTAAC